GCAATGTTCTTCCGACGTCTGATTTCTTTTTAAAAAATGCGTTTCTAAAGTGCATCAACTTTTAGGATTGACTGTATAGCCAATACATCCTTAAGTAACAATTAGAACTTCTGCGACATGAAGAAACGAATTTCGTTGTTTTTTTATCGCTTACGAGAGAATTAAAAAACAATCGTTTTCAGTGCTGACATTAAGTGCTGAAAGTACAGTTGTTGCGACGGAACTAGAGCACTTGAGCTGGGGCACACTGTACGATCATCGCGTGATGCAGGTAATGTTCGCGTCGAACCATGTTTCGGTCCAGTTATGACGCAACTTGTTGGCGAAACTCGGATGGTCTGAATGAGAATGAATTGTACGGTAATTATCATCACGCTGAACAAACAACGAGGGCGGACCGTTTAACCGGTATAATTAAAACACGAATTTCCACTCGAGTTAAAAGGGGCGACTGTCGAAGGCACGTCGATGCCATTATCCTAATCTAATTCCGGCATTCTTATTCTTGAGCGCGTTCGATCCTTGTTTAAACAGGAAGCAGCCATTAAGTTAGATCTAGAGGAAATTGCAATTTCCACGTTTTAACGCGGTAAATTTAATTGGATCGATACGCGAACGAACTTGAGAATAAATCGTAGAAATCACTCGTTCATCGTACACCTTCGTCAATCTTCGTAAACTTGGACGGAAACGCGTTAATTCGTTCGAACAAGAGAATGCACTGATTTAATAGTTTCCGTCGTACAAAAAGTGTTTTGAACCGTTAAACGACGAGTGATTATGAGGGATACTTTGATTCAGTTCCTCTCACGATTTCACTTAAATCCGTTGTAAGTAGATGAATGTCAATCTTCAGCCGGACATCGTCTCGTAAGATAAATTGCATCACAATGAAAAGTATCGTTGAAGCTCAGATAAATTAAAGCAAACTGATCCTTTTACGAAAGGGTAAAGGAGAAGGCAATTTCGACTGACCGTCCAACGTTTCTCGGAGCTCTAATTTTTTATTCATAAAATCGTTTTTTGACGAAACTTGCTTTAAATTAAAAAATAGACTGTACGACTGTAATGGCGATCGCCATGAATTAAAGAGAAACAGAAAGGAGTGTTTTATTGAGATACGTGTACACGTAATGCGCGATACCGTAGACAGAAACTTGCTTTCGAGACGACACCGCAACCCCCGATTTCTTACTGATTTTCTCTGCACGAATCTCTTTGCACGAAATTCGCGAAATAGACAGCTGACGGAAGACGTGTTTCTCAGCAGAATTTATAGAGCAAGTAGAAGAAGAAGGTAAAAGGCTTACCTCGTCTATGGTGATATGGTCTGCCGTCTCTTCGAAACATTTTGAATAATGCGATACACCTGCAACAAAGATGACTGCGTTATTGCCCGTGTCCACGATCCATCAACGGATAAAAGTCGACGATGAAAAAGCGACACGCGTCGCATGAACGAAGCCTCGACCCTTTCTGCTCCGTGTTTCGCGTCAATTTCAGTCGGAGGGAAGGAGATCTCGTTTTCAAAGTACGCCGATTTCCCACGCGACGAACCGCGTCTTCGACTTTGCTTTCTCAAACAGTAGCGTCTGGTCACGGGGAAATGGTCGAACGGCAAAAATAGGACTCGGTAGCGAGGAGAGAAAGAGAGAAGGAAAGAACGGCGATATAATAACGTAAAAATGTTTCTGAATCCCTTAGGTCGCCGAGGGAAAGCTGTTACGCTTGGGACACGTTTCTCCTGTATCTGATGTTTCACCACTAGTTTCTGGCTTCGAGAAAAAATCCTTTTACAAACACGAATCGTAATTGGAAAATACACTTTTCGAGATTGTCTGAGACCTTCTATTCAACTACGTGTCATTTTATTTCGTTGTCTATTTTTTTATAAAAACCATTGTTACGGAAGGTGTACGTTTTTCGAGGAGTCACTCCTTCAACACGTTTCCTATTCTATGTTGAACGAATCGCCCCCAGCAGCCGATTGTACGTTTTCACTTGCCGAAACGACGCAGTCTCTGCGCTTAATAGCGTTGTTAAACACCTGCGTCAACCGATGTTCAACGTGTTCTCAGTTTTGCGAATGATTCACTACCGTTCGATAAAAATGTCTATCCATTGTATTTGAATTTGTTGAAAGTCCTATGTTCTCATCATTTTAAGATTTAAGAGGTCATCGAATTTCGAGAACAACGAGTTGGCCCGTTAAAAATGTCAAGAAGAATCCCTTTCATTGAGAAACGTGTTCTCAAACATTTATGCTCGTCCGTTACGCGGTGAACAGATCAGAATTTATGGAGTATAACAACGACATGGGATCCTTCGAGCACAGAGACGTATTATGAAGAAATTTCTGCGCGTCGTCGAAATTCCTCATAATTGGCTTATTGGCAATAAATAATAGCAGCAATTTACGAGTTTCATTTATTTTTATAGTACCGAACTAATGAAGGTACGAGTGAATTCTGAGGGGAAGCGGACTGCGAAATGAACGCGAGTAACGAGGTTCCTATATGTATATGTTTATACGCATCAAAATTAATTAATACGTTTCCATAAATTTCTCATTTATTTAGACGTACACTCAGTACGTACATGACATGCTGGGATTAATGGTTCCAATTAAAATGGATTAACAAGCAAATTGGTGTAGTTTCGTTCCAGATTTTTTTGGACACGTCGAGACGCGTAGTGCACGCCTCGCGACCGTTTATGAGGTTAATTAGCGGTATCGATTAAAATTAGTTCTTCTATAAATACACTTTTCTGTGTAGCACAGCTATCGCTCGCGAGTTTATCGCGCACGCACGGCTCTACCGTTTCCGTTTTGCTTTAATCCGGAGACGTTATGCAAATGTGTTACATGAACAACGTTCCGTTTTCGTTAAATAATAGCAGATCATTGTTTATGAATCGAACTCTTTTAACTCGATGAGTCATTTAATAATTTCTATCTTTGAACGAGAGTTGAATTTGTCAGTTACGTATCGTACGAATATAAATGTTTTTATTCATATTTTTAATAAAAGACCGCTTAACCGTCCTCTGGTGCATCGTGCCATCTGGCTACTAATACGTTTGCCGATATCAGTGAATTAATTCGAGGCAGGAGTCGAATTAATAAATCAAACATTATACGCATCCACCTCGTCCATCAGTGATTCTTGTTTTTTTTTTTTATAAAAGACTGAAAATTGTTTTATGCATCGAGCCCGTCCGACATTCATACTTACCTGTACCAATAAATCGATTTGAAAGAGGAATTGAATTTATTATATTTCTACCAGCGATTTTTATCTCCAATGAAAGATCTCCTAACCGTCGCTTTATACATGGAGGGAGTCACCTGACCGTTAATACTATTCGCCAGTGCCAATTACAAAATTAATTGAAAGAGAAATCAATTTCTTTAAACGCGTGTTCTACGTCAAATTTTATTTCTTGCTCGATATAAAAGTCTCCGTGATCGGCGATATTGTATTTTTTCAACGGCAGACTAATTCGTCGACCAGAACGTCAATTCGCGTAACCGTGACCGTTGAACAGACTCGTGTTGCGGTGTCGACTGGAGTAATTAAAAGACTCAGAATTAGAAGCCGGTCTTAATACCTGCCTGCGAACCGACGCCATCCACTTTTCAAACGATTATACACGGGAAACGACGATCATACTTCACGTAAAACGAGTATCTGTATTACAGAACTCCATCCCTTGTTTCTTCTCTGTCGCAGAAATCCTCTTATTCTCTTTCCATTCCTCCGTATCGTAGAACGTTCGCAGATCGTTAATGTATAAATGCTACGACGAAAACTGGCACTTATACGTTCATATAGTATAAACTGGGACTGAAAGTGAAATTCGAGTGCTTCGTACGTACGTGGTGAGGTCTGGTCATAAAAGAGTCAGGGGCGTTGAACAACTTTTCGACTTGTTCGAGTTCTAGGCAGAAACTCGGGATAAACATCGGTACGTATTGATCGATAAATCTGTTCAGTTGGCGGGATTAATTTTCTGATTGTAAGATTAAACTCGTCGAAGGACATAGAATGTGAGCCGTATATAATGCTTCGAATCACGTTTTCGAGCACGTTTCTAGGCAAACGAGAATCTGTACAGAGTTGTTTACAGTGACTATCTGAAAGAATGTCAACGTCTAAAAATAGTTAAATATCATAGCGCATCATCGGTCGTTCGAGCGAAAATGTTAACGCCTTTATTAAGCTGATGAATGAAACCTGTGGAGAAGAATGTACGGTCTTGACGCGTTCATAAAAAAAATAGTTAATTTTATCGATAAAGTATTTCTGTCCCTTATTGTCTCGACAAAGTTCGACAGATCTGACGCGAACTCAAAATTGTTGTTTTCGTGTTCTAAACTGACCGTACGGATACATAATTTTCGAAACTATTTATGGACGTTACAGAGAGCGAGTATAAAGTAAAGGGTACGAGTGCAAGGGTTAAAGGAGGCGGCCGACTGCGGCTCAGTCGGTCATCTCGTGGGATTCTCATCGAGGCAGAGGTGTGCCCGTAGCCGGTGGAAACCGACGACGAATCGTTAACCGGCCTCCCGGAGACTAAACTTTCATTTAATCATACCTGCCCCAGTTCACGGGCGACCGTCACCTCGCGTGACACAAAGTCCCGACCCAAGATTCTCTCTTCGACCCCCCGACCTCTCTCCTCGGATATTTTAGGTGTTCGCTTCGACGTACGTACACTGCCGTTTAAAAGTTTCTGAACGGTTCTCTACCCGAACTAAATCAATCTAAAAGAATTTAAGTAACAGATCTTATTCGGTTTTGTGTGTCTCGTTTCACACTAGCTCAGAAATTGTACGAGTATCCTAAAAATATATACACACTTTTTAAATAACGTCTGTAGATTCTGTTAAATTTTTAAACTGAAATATATTTTCATGAGCACCGACTTTATGACTATTTAAACCGTGTACACGTTTCTCTGAGACACGTTTTACAACAAACGAGCTCACTTTTCTCGTTGACAACGTTAATAACGGTCGGAGGATAAATTAGAGTCTGAGGAACTTTCGACTCATCAGACGTTCAGTCTGTTTCGTTCATACACTCACAGAGGAAACTCGCGCATTCTTCCTACGTACACGAGTCGGGAAGGGCTGTAATGCAATCTCAACGGTCAGAATTAATGAATCTACGTGAATCGACACGAGACTCGGTTTATGCCCTGCGCGGTTTAAACAGCGTTATAAACAGGAAAGGGAGGTATGCCTGAGGAATTTACCTGATGACGTGCGCGCGCGCGCGCGCCAATAAACCTCAGCATACAGCGGGAACGCGAATGATGAAAAAAGAAGATTGCAAATTATTTCATCAACGCAGACTGGAACGCTCTTTAAAGTGAAAAAACTTAGTTGGTAATTCTAAATGTTGATATTTATTAAACTCGAGAATACAAATAGTAGGAACCTCATTACTCGCGTTCATTTAGTTCTCTTCCCTTCAGAATTCACTCGTACGTTTATTAGTTCGGTACAAATATTTTTTGTTCCACGTTGCTCTTTGCGTTTTAGCGTTCTCTTGTGCATGTACAAAGTCAGTGATTTCATCGAAGGAGTAACGACGAATGAGATCGGAAGACGATATGAAACGAGATAGGTAATGATAAAAATATAAATGAATTTGAAGAAATTTGTCATACGAACTATCATTAACAGATTCCGATCACCTTTAAACACACATTCTATCTGTGTCAACAGATTATTCTACGAACGTCTAAAACCCTTGAACCGATCTGTTTAATCCGCCTAATTAGCCTCATGCTAGATTCACCGAGTGTAAATTCGTAGAGAGCCGTGAAAATTGATCGGAAGAGGATAGGATTTCCGTTAGTTAGGCGGGACAAAAGTTAATTCAAGTAGCCGGTTAAAAGGCTCGTTAAACCGCACGCAACCACGGAATTGCCGCTATCGATTTTCTAATTGATTTGAACTGCCGACACCTGACCGACCCGAGGCGGCGTTATTCTTTTCAACTACTTACATACCCTGTTTCATTTTCCACGATCTAGTTGCTACTTCCTACCTCTCCAGTTACTCCCGACTTCCCTTGTCTAATACGTACTTTATACGTTAATTAACGTCACGGTTCGTGCAATAATTGATAAACCGGTTCAGTGTCAATTCGTCGTGCCATGACTCATTTACGGTTTTTCATTTAATGTTGAACTGCCGTTTCAATAAACTATACAATGGTCGAGATGATAATTGATTCAATGATTGACACAGCAATTGAAAAGCTTGATCTAAGAATTTCTGAAATACATATATGTATTGCTGTTCACTTGGACAGCGTCCAGTAGCCCGTATTACTTTCTCATACGAAACTATGTGTAATATGAACGAAATTACATAGGTATGTAAAATGATGAAATGTAGAATCGTTGTAAATGTTTGTTCTCTGATCCACCGCGAAGCATCGACTGAATGTGACTAAACGCTTGAGGCTATTCATGTGTTCAATCAGAAGCCTGCTATATGTACATCGAACGGCAACGTGTTTTCCAAGTGTAAAGTCGTATCGTCTACTAATTTATAAGGCAAACGGAGTCCATTGAGAACTAGTAAACAAGGATCTTCCACGATTTTTTACACAAGTTCACGTGCATACAAAGCAATTTCTACCCGAGGCTGTTCGAATGACGAACACTGTTAATTTGGCATTAAATTTCCTATAATGGTTCTTACCACGGCGAATCTCCTTTTGGAGAATAGATGGAACATCTCGAAAGTTCAGACTGGAAGGAGGAGAGACCGTCGCCCGTGTGCTTACGCTGTGAATAATGCGAGTTCTAATTGCGATAAAATACGTTCGAAAGCGTGGAACAACAGGTACCTAGCTGCATACATATGTACGTACTGTACATAATGTAGATCCTATCTGAATCCGGGTGTGCGCGTGCATTTCATAAATTTGAATAGTCGGACGCCAGTTCCCGTTCTCCTGCGTTTTAAGGGTGGTGTTTATAAATTTAGAGAAGCTAAAAGGGACCGAACGGCGGTAAGTCGTACCAAAGCTTTCCTTCCAGCTAATGAACGTTGCATGTTATTTATCATTTTTTTTTTCTATTGTGAAACAGAGGAGCTTTTAAAACATTCCTGTTGAGTCGGTACATGCCCATTTGGCAATAGACGACGACAAAAAACGTGACGGTTCACGATAAAAATTTTAGCTTAAACGAAACGGCAGAAGACATTCGTTCGTAGCCGGCAGGTAGTGTTCATAAATTCTCTTTTCTTAATTTCGTTTGTCCCTCTCTAGCGTTTCAGATGTCACGCGTTTCAACTCTTGGCTTTTTACCGTACCTTTCCACGTACAAAAATTTCAACCGTTAGTTACGATGTGAATGTGTAAACAAATAAATAAGTGCAAGAGTCTGAGGATGTTCGAGGGTGGAATTAATTTTCTTTATAAAATAGACCATCGTTTGGTCACGGCATTTACACTGACGTAAGACGCGTATCTGTCAGCTACTGTCTATAAATTCAGAAAAGTTAAAAGGAGTTGGACGATATTCCGGAAGTTTTTATTGTAGATAACGAAAGTTGTCTATTATTATCGTGTCTCTGTCATTTCGAATCGTTATCAATCCTACGTGTCGTGAAACAGAAGATCAAAATTTGTATGTACCAGTTACTGCATATAAATTCACAAGAGCTGAAAAGGACTGAACACTGTATTCCGAAAGTTTTGATCGTAGACGAGGAACGTTGTTTATTATCGTGCCGTATCGTCTCTTATTCAAAATCGTTTCCTATTGTACAATAGGATAGGAGATCTTACAAAAGATCTGTAGTGACATTTGTGAGAAACTTGGCGCTTACTCTCGTAAGAAGGAAGGAGATCGAATTTATATACCTCGGAATTCGACTTTGATGACCTTGTCACCCCTGTGCTTCAGACCTTGGAAGTTCTTCACGATAACGACGAGCGCCATTCTCTGAAATTCTCAATAAAATCGACTGGCGAACAAATTTACTCGTCTCGTTTACCGAACAGACTAGTTTCACTTGGCACCTCGTCTCTCCCGCGAGTCATCGCGGGACCCGCTACAGTTTCCGAAACAACGCTACTGTCCCGAAATCTCTAATCTCGTTAGATCCCGCTGCTTCGGCTCTCGAATTCGAATGAGCTCTGGACGATCCTGGTCGATGGATTCTTTCAACGTCCGCTCGGAGAAAAAGTGAAGCCGCGATACCGGTGTAAAAGTCGCGTAAGAAACAGCGCGACCCGAGCTGAGCGACTGACACACTCGGACTGATTCGCAAGGGGTGTTCGCGCCTTGAACGAACCCCTGCCCTGTACGAGGTATATACGCGAATACGAGTCCTGTACCGACCTACCCGTTCTGCCATCCTGGAAAACCGGCGCACGCGCCCGCTCGCACATGGAAATGTACAGTGCACCCCGTAACTGGTGGTAGCCTCTTCGAAACGTAAAGTCTACTCTCACCACGAACGATAATTAGACTACGTACAAATCGGTCAAATATTCTGAGCCAGGGGTGGCGGGCTCATGGTCCACTTCCTCGACTCCCGCGAGCTACGTCGGACGCTCCGGTCTCTCAGTGCCAGAAGATGAGCCTACCGATGTGGCTGTGTCTCTTTCTCATACCTCCTTACTTCTGCGATGAATAAACGCGGCCTACGAGACGATTCGGGAATCGATATTTGCTCTCAGGTTCGAACGACTGTCCCAGGGAACACGATTTTCTGCACTCTTTGAATCTTGTTTTTCTCCCGATCTAATGTGAAAAAATTCTGAAACAATTCAGAGACGTACTACTAGAGCGAGTAATATTAAAATTTATCCATTCACGATTTGTTCTTAAATAGAAATTCGTAAAGTTTTCGAATTATAACAACGAAATTTAAGCCTCGTATTCTTTTCTCCGAGAACGACGTCATCATACCTCAGTGCTTTGTCGGTGGTGAAAACGATTGACTCGAGAGTGAGAGTTGGAAGCTACAGAAGCCGAAGGCTCACAAACTCGCTACCCCTGTTTGAAGTAGTAAATCCTTGAAGACTTGTGTGCGTGTGTGTGTGTGTGTGTGTTATTGTGACCGAATGTTGTCGGTCACGAGTTAAGTTGTGTTTGCATTTGCACTAATCATAATTGTGAAAAATGTCATAAAATGAAATAGCCGGTGACATGAGATGGTTTGAAACTTATAAAAAGGTTCGTGTAACACTTCTTAATCAGCTAAGCGAATAATTTTCGTTCGTCAAAAGTTCGTATCGATAGAATGGAATGAATTTATCGATGTAATGAAATTGTGCGATGATTTTTTCGCATGAAATGTATGGTACAGTCTCGTCCTATGATCTCTGCGCCACAGTTTGAGGAACAGCCTGTACATAGTGTTACACGTCATCGGTGTACGGTTTCACCCTCTTTGTACCCTCGATCCTGGAGAAATCGGTGACGTATGCCCGCGCGATCGTGACCCACTGCTCGAATATGCATACACACGTGTATAGTATACGTTCCGCACTCGAGCAACGCACCACCACCGGTATACATTACCAACATTTATTAATCAGAAGCAGATACTCGCGTGTGTACTCAGTCACTGGTTTTCCAGATAAAGTTTTCCAATAAGGAACACGAATCCTCTGGCGTGAAAACCTACTTACGCATACCAAGTACTTATAGGCCGAGAAAATAGTCCTTTCATAAATTCAGGTATGAAACGTAGTTGCCTTGTAGAATAGAATAACGTAATTCATTTACTTCGATCTTCGCGACGCTCCCTAAAGGTCGTGCGACTCCTTCAACGAGAACAATGACGAAGCATTCAAATTTCAACTGTCATTAGACATAACACCAACAAAACACTGTGCAGACTTTCAGAAATTTTACGAAGCTATTGAAAAAGTTACATCTCCAATTCTTGAACCGCAAAATTTCAATTTGTTCAAGAACTATAAAGAACTGACAACGACAGAATATTATAATTTTGTATAATTGTTAATACGCATTTTACGAATATTTTAAAGTTTAGATAACAACTACTTGGAGGATATTATTTAGGACACACAATAAAAAGTAATTTTGTGGTCGGATTTTGTCAACATCAATAAAATGCCAAATAATCATACGTAACTCGTTAAATATCCAAGTTAGAAGGATTAGAACTTTTATTTCAAGCATTTTTCGCAATTTTGAAAAAAAAAATTTTTCGTCAGCGTCAATACTTAAGCTATTTATTATTAGCATTATTCTTCCGACGTCTGATTTCTTTTTAATTATAGGAAATGCGTTTTTCTAAGGTACATAAACTTTTCGGATTGACTGTATAGCCAATACATCCTTAGTAAATGTCACAATTTTTACTCGTTTACGTATTTTTCTGTAGTATCGTACGTTGTCTTGAAATTATAGAAAGATAAGGGAGCGAATAAAAGAGAACTTGTGGAACAATGGCTTTACCCAAAGAATCAGTCGTCGAATAAAATGACGCGTATACTTTATTTACCATAACATCTATTTATATAAAAGATCTATAAACAATTTACGAAACGTGTCTAGGCAGGACTTAGTACGTGTACGTATTTGTAGAAGGGCCGTTCGAATATCAATCGGATACCAAATGGGAAATTGGTGAAACGATCGACGTATACGTGAACGGTTTAAGAACGGTCTGTCGATCTCCAATCAGTCTTGCCGTTTACTGGCATTCCACACGTGCCACCTTCGTGCTTGGTCAATACTCGACATACGTATATACCTACCATCTACGTGTATACATACATGCGTGATACGAACGATCAGGGACTGTACACCAACGTTGCTTCGACCTCGAGACTGTACGTATCTCGCGATGCTCAAGGCGTACCCGTCCGTTTAATTAAAAAGTTATCGCGCCCGCAACGATTCAACGCAGCGCGTGTGAAACGACTCGAAAAACCTTCCCCAGCTCGGTGATTCAGACCTCCGATTAAACCCGAATTTAACAATTAAGGACCGACGATTCGCGTATGTAAAACAATCTCCTCGATTAATTGACAATTGCTATTTTTATACTCGATGAGATAACGTTCGAATGAATTTGGCGATTTTAACTAGGGACTGACGGTTCGTACGTAGATATTGAATCACCGTCAACTAACTGTTCACCGTTCAATATACGTTGATTCGTAAGAACGTGAAAAAAGTAAACGCGATAGAGTAGAGGAACGAAGAGAGACGAGGAGCATCGATCGATGTCGCCACTCTCCCATCACTGAGGGTAATCCTCGGTTTTTCATCGTTTCGTATGACCGTTCAAAGGGAATGATTTAAGGATAAACACTTTATTGAATGAAGAACGTATATTTTCCCCCGGAACGATGATAAACGCATTTTCCGCTGGCATCAGAAACGTATAAAAAGCTTGAACGTAGATACGGTAAAACTGACAGAGTACATGAATAACGTTTACGCGATCCCATATACATCAGAGATAAAACTTGTTCGGCCCACGTTTTCCAATAAATACAAGATTTCTACTTTCACGTATACGATACATCGTCAACCGTGTATATCTGCTTCGTGGCTTGTCGTTTTCGCCGTTACGCAAACGTCCGTTATACGACTTTGCCCAGAATCGGCAGGGCCTTCATACGCTCCGCGATGGAATGCACGCTGGACCTGGCCACCTCGAAGTTGTTGTAAATGGAATACAATATCCCGAAGTAGAACAGGTAGATCGAAACTATGTGAACGACGTACATTCTGCAAATGCGAATTCGAAACGATGTAAAGCGCGAGGAAGAAGATTGAAAACCACGAGAAAGAAGTTATGCGTAAAAATGCTAGATACGTACACAGCTTGATGCCTGCGAGCTTTTGGCAGAGTGGACAGATCTTCTTTCATGCAATACTGTCGCGCGCCGAGGATGCTGTTCTTGATGTATTCCGTTAGGTCGACCACCAAGAAGTCGACGGGGAAGAGTTCCTTGTCTTTAGGACTCATCTCGTCCCACATTATCATTACGTTCGTGTTGTGGAAAATCCACTCCCTCGTGGTGAAGAATTGCAACAACTCCAGGCCGACCGTGATCCGTCTCTGAAGCCGAACCATGCTGCAACGGTTCGAATTTCTTTTTGTATTTTCAGACAGTTTCAACAGGATCAGCGAATATTCTATTATGTTGGACGAGAACTATGCTTGTCCTGAATTTCCAAGCTGTTACCAAAAAGATCTAAAGTGATGCTTTTATGGAGAGTTATGAGAATTCTTTCGGAATCGTTTTCGACCAGACTCACAATGTTTTTTGTCGAAATATCAGCATGAGGAGATCGATGAAGTAAGCCGGTATGATGTGAAAGAAGAACAAGATCAGGTTGTGTAGGAATTTGCTTGTGTGTATGTCGCCACCGGGGTACCAGACTTGACCCTCGAAGGGATACTGATAGGCAACTTTCTTCCCTTTACCTAGCACTTCTCCCCAGGTAATCGGCTGCACGCCACTTTGCGAGATGTTGTACACCGGTATGCTCTGTTTCCTGACAAACGAAAACGGGAAACGTTGCTGACAACTTCTTACCAATTACCGAAACCATCCTTAGTTCGACTCTAAAAAATTTCAATACCAAGAGAAATTCTTTTACGTCGAGAATTGTTCGACGTAGACGCGGATTTTGTGCATTTATAACAGAATTAAATGTGCGTGAAAGAAGAACTTTATGAACGAAACATACGTTTGATGCGAAGAAATACACCAAGTATTAAAAGTGAATGCACGCCGTAATGTTAATTAACGATAGATCGACGCGCACGATTGTAGTATACGTTCTTAACGCATTGGGTAAGTATGTCAGCGCGTACCACCGGTGGTACACGTGGCACGGAGCGTGTTATTAATAATTAGAGACGTTCACTAATTTCAAGGAGTGTCCCTTACTTTTCGCCTGTAGCTGTCTTTTGCGCGATGGCGATTAGAGCGTTGATAGCGAGATCGAGCGGTATCACTTCCGCGTGATAGTTGGCGTTGCCGTGCATCGACCTTATGACACCTTTACCTCCCCCGACCAGCACGCCCATAGGCCCGTTCAGATTGTCCACCCATCCCGGCAACGGCTCGACCCAGGATGGAGTCACTGTGCAAACAATAATACTTTTACAAATTCATTTAAACGTGAAAAGGTTGTGAAAGGAACCCCGTGAAGACCGGAAAGGACGAAACAGACAATTACTACTGTATACGAAAAATTGTATCGATTACTGTGTATGCAAAAGGTTTCGCATTAAATTGATTACCGATCGACGGCCTAGCGATGGTACAAGGCAAGTTCGGGTACTCGTCGGCTACCAACTTCTCGGCCAATCTCTTTGAGTAAGTGTAAGTGTTTGGATGAAGGTCCAACAACCTGCGTCCGAAACCGACAAACATATTCAGGTTCATTATTTACGACTTGATTTTACATTGTTCGTCAGGAATGAATTTGAATTACTTAGGGGTGATCAGGTCTAGAGAAGTCTCGTCCATCCATTCGACCAGTCTCATGACGTCATCGGGATCAGCAGGCGGGTCGTAAACTCTTTCGTCGAGCTCTTCTTTGTCCGGATAACAAAACGCTGTGCTCAGATGCACAAACGTTTGTAGTCTCTTCATCCTCTTCGCTATCTCTAACACGGTACGGGTTCCGATCTTTAACAGCATTTTCCGTGGCATTAGTTCTCACGAAGTACGACGAATTTGTCGTGTCTAACAATAATTTATACGGTCAAGAAGAATTACGGTCGTTTATTGTTGGACCACGGATTCATGGCGAGGTGAAGGTAAGTACTCGGAATCGAGAGAAATTTTTTGTTATGTAGAAACGCACCGTGTTCATCTCTATGGCGCTTTTCAACTTGGACTCTAGACGAAGCGTCGCGGCGAAATGAAACATTACGTGAACCTCGTTGAGCAACGTCTCCAGCTGCTCTTCGGTGAGTCCTAAATTCTTCGTGCTAATATCCCCGTTCAAGGGTATCACTTTCTTCATCACCTGAGGTTTCTGCTTCCGTACTCGTTGGAACATCTACTCAAGATCGTTTTCATTCGTTATTTCAAATCAACATTACTCGAGTGAACCGGTCTCTGAACAATTGAACATCGACGAGTCTCACTTCCGTACCTCCGTCGATCGTGGTTGATCATTGAGATTTAATAATTAAAAATATAGATTACTAGAAAAGTGCTTACAGGCAATTTGAACATTTCATCGACGCGAGCGTGCGGATCGCGACCCCTCTTCGGCCGAGCCAGGACGTAAATTTTGTCCAAATCGCTGCAGCTGTAAAGCAGCTTCTCGATCAGTACTTTTCCCATCAAACCAGTCCCGCCGGTTATAAAGATGCACTTTCCTTTGTAAAACGACTGTATCTCGGTTAATTCAGACATCGCTTCGTTTCCTTGTCTACCTGTGGCGATCGCAGAACCTGCCTGATCCTGTTCAAAAGTGTACCAAGTACATCGATTTGATTTTTATGGACAATCCAATTTTCAGTTTAAAGATTGAAGTCTGGATTCAGATTTGTTTTACTGTCCAAGGACAATGACGTCTACTCGGGCATAAATTTTTTAAATCGATTATCATAAATATTTTGCATCGAAATTCCATCGTCGCAACGACAGACCATCTGGTTATGTAACTTTTTAAACCGACTTCTCGTCGAGAACAGAAGCGAGTACCGGTGTTTACATAAAATCCGGTTTACCTTCTGCATTCAGATAGCCGTGATAATTAGTTCATGTCTACGGTGACCGTCTGCACGGATCATCAAGCAAATCTACTTTCTTGCGCCAATTAATTGCGAGCCAAGTCCTCGGAGAAAACAGATTAACGGCGAACTACTCTTTTTCTACAGGGTGTCCCAGAATTAATACTATGCCCGAAAACGGGGAGGAGCCGAGGTGATTTTAAACAATATTTTCCTTTGCAAACAAGTTGTCCGAGGCGTGGTTGACGAGTTATTAACGAAGAACCGAGATCAATCAGAGCGCTCGTATAGCGGACGCACAGGCTAGCGTTCATTTTCCACGCAGACCCACAATCCATTGTCATAATTTTACAAACGAGATCGATTGGCTCGTGGTAAGAGGTATTACAAAAAAATAGGACTTGCGAGCAAAAGGCAGAACGAAATCTGAACACTTAAACGGTCCCACTTTCCATTTTACAACCGAGCAACCTTTGACGTTTTTTTATTCAGTCGCAAATTCGACTACGTCGTAAATGGGAAATGAGATTCATAAATGTAGCACGGATGAAACACGTCGAATTTTGCAACATGCAAAGTTCGGTCGGGAACTTTCCATTTTATAACCGAATTCGATTCGAGTCGTTGCAAAATCCAGTACATCGGTAACGATACACTGAAATTTTCCCTTGTTCCGCGTTCGAGACCGTGTCGTAACTCGAGAACACATGGGTGAAAGGGAAAGAAAGATCCTGAGGTAACGACTGATCGAAACGATAAATGCGTGTAGTTCACTGGTACACTGCTGCTTACAGTCAGGGTGACCATACGTCTTTTACGTAAGAGGATGGTCCTCGCCATGTAGAGAAAACAGTGAACAGCTGACAGAGACGCGAGATCGTACCAGGCACATTCATAGGACGAATCAATAAGAATTTTTGTCTGAAACTATTCAATTATTTCTTATTGAAGGAATTGAAAAGAATGCATGACGCTATTGTTATCTTTTTAAATTTAAAGAACGCATTAATTCGGTGAGATCGAGCAGATGTAAAATTCCATACAAAACTTCTAATAAACCAACAAGATAATTAATTGCTTTATAATAACTTTCTGCATATGGTGGCTGTCCTAAATTCACGTGTCTGTTCTTTACGCTGGTCATTCTTCTAAAATGATTGTCATCGTGAAATTACGAAACCCGTACAAGAGAAAAGAATATAAAAAGCACTGCCAGAGAGAAAACGTTTTCGAAAAGTAGAACTAGATGTTTTTTTGTTTTAACGTTAACGTCAGTATAAAAGTCTTGTTCGTTGTTCGAGCAAATTTTAACAGGAATTTTTTCATTTTTCTCCAGCGAACTTTCTCAAACAGTGTTTTTGCCATAGATATTTCATAACGCGCGTTCTTACCTGCCCGTGTGAACCTTAGCAAACTCCGTCTGTTTGGGCAAAGTCCAAGGAAGGTACAAAATTCAATCGACACGTCTGGGTATTCGAACGTAGTCGAATAACTGACACCGTCCAGTTGAAATTTCACGATCGAATTTTTCGACGATCGATTTGAAATAATAGATCTTCAATCGATGATTGAACCACTTGCATCCCATTAAATATTCTAATCGAAATTAAGGATGTATTTTTTTTTTTAATTCAATCTTCGGTCAATTATTTGTTTACAGAAGACGAGTTTGTTCATTGATCCAGTTGCCAAAATGATACTTTTTACTAGTTTACAGTTACGATTAGATTGATTTCCTTGAAGAAAATAAAATGCGTCCCAATAATTCCTCACTAAGAAATATGAATTCAGTTTCAGAGACGCGCGGTGGAAATGCACGAATGTGCTAACGCTTTAAGAGTATTTACGTACACCTACTTTCACTGTCAAGTACGCGAAACACAATTATTATGTCATAACTTGATTGCAAGTGCTTCACGCCAGTGCGTGGCCGTCCAACACCAGGAACTCGGTACTCCGTATGCATTTATGAACAGAACAGTCTTAAGCGTGTCGTTTTCCTGACTAATATACCCTTTGCGTGTATGCCTAATTGATAGAACGAAATTGACAGATAATGCGGTAGAACAAGCCGTTCGGTTTTACACTTTTTCATCTGGAAACTTCTCATACGATTGTACATTCATGTAAATTTACATACATTTTTACTCAACATTGGACACTTGTGGCGTCCATGTACAAATATTTAACTTTTATAATATAAACTTTTTCTTATTCTTGATAATAAATTTTGAATCGTAACAGCAGATATTCACATTCGTAATAAAATCTCACCACTAACCAAAATTTCGGATATCATGTGAATTATAAAAAAGTGGTTGAATTTGCAGAAATGATAAAAGCTGCGAGTAAGGTATTGAAAGAATTCAGAGTGTAAAAGTAATCGAATGAGACGCGAGTTTTTCGCAGGAACAAAACGTTTCATACATACAATGATGAAAATCTCTTCTAGGCCTTGTGTTTTATGTAAAGTATATTATGTAAAGTATGTAGAATAAAGAAGAAAAAGGAGATGACAAAAAGATACTTGCACAGTCAACAGTCACAGGCTATGTATAAAATTGGTTTTTTCGTAGAAAAAGAGTCATGGCTGAATTGTTCTAGGCGCATGGTTGATCTTTTCCAAAGAATGTGTATAGTGGGCAAAAAAGTTGATTACCGAGCAAAGAGGAAACGAGTTTTATGATCCAAGTCAGTATAAGTCAACAGTGTCGAAGATCCAATGATATCAATATTCTATTAAGAATATACTATAAATTTTCTAAAAAAAATAGTAATAAACAAATTGAATTTCTTTGCGTATTATACTTGCATACTTATTTATGACAATGAAATGAATTTCTTCTCAGATCCAACTTCTCTTCGATACATCGATGGAAAGACTGAATTTTGTGCTACCTCTGCAGCTGGTCCCGCCAGGCGTCTGAGACGGTACGATCGGAGATTTGTCAGGGCACGGAAATCGCCGTTTCAAGCGGACGCATCAGGACGTCGTAGAAAAGTAACTGAGCAAGTACAATATTTATGATAGCTAGGCACGCGAGTGGTCAGGTCTTATGTAAGCCCTCGGATACGTATTATGTCAGGAGAAATTACCGCGCATGTCGCGATCTCCGTTTTACCGTTAGTACTGACATAAAACAATTACAAAACAATTTGAAACGGTGTTCAATCGTAACTAACAGTTCAGTTACACCTTGTCACGGATTAGGGACAGCAATCTGATTAGAAAGCGTTCGAACAGTCCGAAATTACAATAATAGCTATTCGCTACCAGGCTGCGGGTTTTTTTTCCGGAACAAGACGTTCAGGGTATCAATTAATTAAACGCACCTTACACGGACATTTCTCTTATCGTTTAAATATCGCAATATTGTATCTTATCTTAACATTTCGTGTACTTTTTATGCATGAATTCTTTATTTCATCTGCAGACGCGATTTCCATAATCTATAGAAATACGTACAAATCTATAAACTCGTCGAATATCTGTTTCAAGTGTGCACGACACATACTTGATTTAATGATGAACTTTTAATTACTGACTGCGTATACATCTATATTTCTGTCATTGTAATTGATCTGTTAATGATCGATCGATTAATTATTATTGTAAAAAGAAAAGTAGCTACGACCAGTTCTATACCTGCCGTCACGAGATTCCATAGTGCGCAAAGACCAGTTTTCGGTCAATGTGTCTCTTTTTCTCTAATGCTTTCCATATTTTCGACACTTTGTCAGATCTACGTATTCAGTTACTCCACTACCTCCAAACTGCGCGAAACTGGTATATGGCTCTCGTGACAGCAGGAATAAGATCCAATGGTATTTCGGAAATAACTCTATATTTATTAGATACTTTGTCGAAAAATTGAATAAGATGGTAAGAGTTACTGAAACTCATTTCCCGGTAAATTAATGGAAAATTCAAACGTTTTATTTTCGTTCTAACAAGTTTTTCCGGGCGACCGTTTACTACGCAAAGATCGTTACACAAAGAATGTTTCTCGCTGCGTGAAACATGCAGAATCATTCTTCATTTTTAATGAGCAGATAGTGACACATAAGTTGAACAATTATGAAAGAGATCGAAGCCACAGTTGAAATCGTACGAGACTCTAGATATGTTTATTCCGTTATTTTTGTGAAATCAATTGTCGGCCTACACCGGTTGCACACTCCCACAAAACGTCAAAACGATGCGAAGAAAATTGCGTTAATCAGTAGGTCACGGATCTAATGCGTTTAGACCAAAATATAAGCGTGCAACGTATCAGGTCGCTGGATATAAAACGTCGTTCTGCATTTTTCATTTGAAAGTCATCTATCATGCTCTCTCTACTCGTCGTCTATCATGTTCTTTCTAGTCATTCCAATCGTCGAGTTCTAAGAATCGAGTGAAACGTGAGATGATTCGATTGAAAATACATCGCATCGTCAATGAAACTTGCGATAAACATGTTGGAACATTATTAAAAGATATTCTAACGTAATTAGTCCATGAGACGCTACGCTAATTAAGAAGAATTCTTGTAAACATCATCTATATTTCTATAACTCTATGTGGATTTGATGTGTCCATCGAAAAATTGAATCTACACCAAGTATAAAGTATCCACGTACCGTGGAGAAGTACTAGAGATAATTTGCATAAAAATTGTAGTCTGATCATGATGTGTATTAAGAAAGTAAATAAATCTGAGCTTTCGGACTGGCATTACAAATAATTGATTTTTCGTAAAAATGACGCGATCTATCTATCTATACTTCAAGTGAATAAATCTGATCTCATTTTTTAAACTCACATTAGAAATAATAAATTTACGATCTACTCACCGTGTGTCTGTAGTGAACAAATGAATGAACAAGTGCCTCTACTTAAACTCGAAAAATAATAAAATCCCCTGATTTTTTCGGCAGTGATATAAGGCTCGATAAAAGTCAGTTCGGAGGCGAACCAATTGTTGAAGAAGTTGAACAGCTCGTAACGGAAGTGTTGCGTGAACCACTGGTTTGAACTCACTGAGCTTGAACGTAGAGTCGTGGCTAAACTTCATCTCCCTCTTTCTCCCCACCTACCACTCCCACGATGACCAGTTACACTTTTTCTTTTCTCTCTTTATTCTTCCACGCGGAGCTTAACGAGGTGTATAACGCTTTCTTGAGAGCGTTGTTTACTTGAAAATTTTCCATGGTCGCTTTTCTTATTACAATTGCCTTCATCCTTACTTTCATGGAGATCATAAAAAAATACGAATGATGCGACGAAAAAGACTGTTTAATATTTATAAGTTAACTTTTTAAACGTTAATTGCTTTAAACGATTTGAACCGCGTAAGAAAATCAGAGCGATTTAAAAACTGATCACTGACATTTGTTACGAGGTGCAGAATTCTGCGATTTTTTATCTGATCCTGCGACTGTAAACCTTCGCAGCTCGTTCTAACGTTTACCGATTTCCTACATGTGCGTACATGATTAATAGACTGTGGATTTTACGCATTTGTGAGACAATGAAATTTATTTGTGCAACTAAAGTAAAAGGAGTTCAGTTCGATCAATATAAATTAGTCATTATAGAAGTTGAACAAACTTTTACTTCCTTTGCTACGATGTCGAGTAGTAGAAATTATCTTCACTACTTTCTTTCTCATACATAACGTAATAAACTGATCTGTGCTCTGATTCTGAAACGAAACGTGAGAACAAATCATAGCTGTACCGTACTAACTGCATATGAAATACTTTCTTTCTTGTTACAATATTAACTTTTATCGCATCGCGTGAATCGTTTTTTTTCCATATGCTACCCGTTACTTCGTGTCACTTTTTGTTCACGCGAAATTGTTTTACAATTTCGTTATTTGAATGAACCAATTGAAATTGCGCGTATTTGCGTAGCTCATCTTTTTACAACCGCTGACCAAACACTCTTGAGTGTGCAATGCAATAAACGATAAATGCGAGGAACATTAGTGATTTGGCACGGACTCGAATTCATTGCCTCTCGCCATTTTCGTAATAATAATAAATTTTTAACAACGTTCGCAAAATATTTCGTTGCTTGCGTTTACAATACGTTCGTGCATGTGTATTTAAAATGTGGAGTGCAATAGCTACAGGAAAGGGAGACGCGCGAGCGCAATAAAAGTTACTTTCTCTCAGCATTACATTAATGTACACGCGTGTGAGTTGATAGCGTAGTGGAGCCTTATGAGCAGAAGAGAGAAACTCTTCAATTACACAAAAATTTATTTCGAAACTAAATCTATCACTACCGTTCCGACTGACTGACGTACGGCTGACTTCCGTGCATTTTTAATTCTCTTTTCAAGTTTATGATTAAAATGATATAAAAATGTGTCGTCATTTTATGGTGAAAGTCGTTTGATTATTAATTCATTTAGAAACAAATTGACTATTGTCTGTGTTAAACAGCATGTGAAACGGTCCTTTTAACCGAGAACGAAGCGTCAGCAGATTTAGTCGGTTTAGTGTTAAGATGTGAATGAGGTTCCTCATAAACCAAACTGATTCGATAAGTGTGCTGTAACATAACGTATGAAGTAGATCATCGAAAGCGCAGTTACACAGATTAACATCAATGCCCACAGTAATTAACACAACGTTCCTCGCCTCACTGCAAGCTGCAACATTTTCGTCGGACTCTAATCATTAGAAATGTTACACTAGAGTCTAATGTAACATTTCCGACGATGCCATTAGGTACCCAACGATTGCGAACCTGTGTGAGAATTGCCTAAACCCGCGCAGAGGTAAAGTGTACAAGAAGTTCGTCGATTCCTTTTACTCAATATTTATTCTCCACAAAGTATCGTTGCTCCAGGTATGTTAAAAATTGCCATTGCATAAGTAAACGCGTTACGTAAACTCGATGCACATTACACTTCGTTGCACTATCGCCCTTTCCTACAGTACGTATGGTCGGTTGGAAGACAAAACGCAATAATTCAACTGAGAACGTACTGACTCGACCGACTGCTGAAGAACGTAGCGATTCGGCGAGCGCTGGTTTCCTGTATCACCTGATAAACTACGTTGCTTAGTTTCATAAGTTTTGAACGTGCTGCTGGCTTGAAATCGTGTTAGAAAAAGGCGCTTACGAATTATAACGTTCCACAGCGTTTGAGCGAGTCGGTACGTTCCTCAGCGTTCGGTAAGTCTCTTTCTCCTTGATTTCTGTCCACCAAGTATTCATTGAGCTAAACAATCACTGACGTGAATGATGTGAACGTTGAACTTCCTTCGACTTCATATTTCACGCTGCATCTCTTTGAGCGGTGATTTCCGAGGAGGAATTATGTAAAATGACGTTCAATATTGACGCTTTTGTTGGCTATTCAATATTTATGTTAGCTCAACACGATTTATTTAGTGATAATTTATGCGTTTCCATGATGTTTTTATTGTATACTTCCATTGGAAACGAATTTCGTTAACGGCTCGAAAATGTTGCAAGCATTGACACTATCGGGACCTGTTAAGGGATCGATTTTTTTCGCAGAAAATGTTCTCTGGACAATTAAACATCATGTGCAAATATTCAGAACTCGACGTTGCATGTGAAAAATGGAACATCGTTTCTATATAGTTTCGTCACTTTTATGCACTAGGAATTGTCGGGAAGCATGTTTTTCTTAAAATAGAATTTTTCAAAACGATTTTCTCCATCTCTACGTAGCTCTGTCATTTTTAGTCGGATTGAAATTTTGAAATTTATATTATGCTTCTACCATAATCTATTCTAGTGGACACAGGATGTTTTCGATATTTAAAATCTTCGCTCCACTGTTATAATGTTTCGTCGAAAAAAATTTCTATCACAAAAACGTTGCTGAAGAATGCACCTACATTGGTCAGGCCAAAAACCATTGAATCTTTTTAAATCTTGTTATTTGATTTTTTGGCAATTTGTGGATAACGTCGGCGCTCTACCTTATCTAGTCCGCAGAGAATGGTGTCCTGAACATCCGTGGGTTCTTCTTTCGTCGTAAACAATGTAGACAGATCATTTCTCTTTCAAAAAGTGAACGATCGAAATGTCTTCGCAAACAGGGCCGATGGTCGAGGAATTGGCGAAGGACTATGCCAATTACTTGAAACTAGACTTGTCTAGTCGAGTATGTACTATCTTCCTTCGCACGTAACCTCCACGACCTTTACTACTGTCAAAATATGCTTTTTTTCATAATCAAACTTAATTTTTAAGAACGTGAAAAAAACCCTCGATGTATAGAATAATTTCACCTCGTCAAGTGTTATAAAAAAAAATGAACATATTAAATATTTTAGATGCGTGCTATTCACTTTTTTACGTTTATAAATTTCTTGTAAATGTATAATAAACATCTGCGTTCGTTCCAATTTTTAGCAGTAGGAATTTAATCGCAATGTAAAACCTGTGGTGCTATTTTTACAGACGAAAAATTTCCTTAACATGATAGAGGACGTAATGATGCGCTTAGAAGAATTTCAATCGATCATCGAAATGGTAACCGATCGAATTATAATCGAACGAAATGTGTACTATGATTAATATGTCTAACAATCGAAGGTACGATCCGAAAGTAGCCAATGCATGGAGGAGCACGTTCCCAGGTTGCGAGACATGCAACAGGAAATCGTCGACCTCGGCAAACGGATGGACGCTTTGGAACATGTTATAGCGATGGTCAATGTGAATTTAACTACTTTAGAAGCGGCAGTTGACAATGCCGAGGCTGAATTAGGAATATCCGATAGTAGATTGTTCGGAATTTTGAATCCTTTATCCTTCTTTGTAAGTTGACAACTACGTATGTTTCAATGATAGCCAAATCTCATTATTAGACTGCGTATCTTATGGATTTATAGAAAAATTGAAATGAAAAATATTACGATTTCATTCTCTGTATTGGCATTACAAATGATTTGTTTTGCATGAAGATCCGCAGTCTTATTTATATGAACTATACGTCGTGTCAGAGTCGCATTAAACGCGTGTACAGATATCAAAATTTGGACACCATCTGTACATTACACATCCAATATGATGTACTGTGAGGAGAATAACTTGAATTCTATTATAACGTTACAGAAGAAGACTCAGGAACCCGTGCTACCAAACAGATTGCCAATATACGAACCTCCGACAATTTATAGAACGAGCGATTATTTTAAAAGTGAATAAAAAGATTGTTTTATTATATATGGAGAAGCACGTTTATTATTGTCAGAATACTATGTTCGACTGACTGAATAATTCGAACGAAAGGGAAGGGTCGCTATTTATCTATGCTTATTCGATTAATTTTACTAGGTATTAACATGCGGGTAGGGTGCAGGTTTTTAACTGCGCTTTTTTTTCGCCTAACAAACAGCTTCCGCCTATGCAATGCCTCCATCTCGTTAATTTTCCAACTCCACAAGTTACGCTACACTTCGACCAATTTCCCCACTGATCCCATACTTTTGCCCCTTGTCGATTCGTTCTGTCGTTCTTGTCTGTCATTAAGAAAAAGAAATACCAAGTGGTTTTTTCAATTAAAATGTTTTACCAGATGTTCAGCCTTGATAACTTTAAAATTAACACTTCTCAGCATATAACGATTTTTAATTTAGATTTAGAGAAGCGCGTGAAATCTGAATTAAAATCCCGTGTCTTGAGTTTCCAAAAAATGTGGTCAATCACACAGACGAAAGTAAATTGCGAAAATGCTACGCTGACCGGGATCGTGAGAACGATTTAAATTTGAATAAAACTGGATCGAGATAGAATCGAATTTATTACTTGTACTCTTTTTCCAGTCCTTCTTAATTTTAATAACGTCATGATTCCCAACGGTTGATACGTGCGAGCTATCCTTTTGAATATCTGCTAGTTTCGCTATAGGAAACGATTCCTCGTAAGAAGCTATCATGCTGTTATTTAACAGAGTATTACAGTTCGAGACTGCTAGACGATCCATGATAAAAAACAGAATTATCAGCGATTTGATACAAGATTTCGTGAACCTATACGGTATCATTTTAACTTTTGACAACAGTAACGATTTCACATCTTTTATGGTAACTGAGATTTGTCCATCACCTAATGAAACAATTTAATTTTTTATCTTTGCTCTCGCGTGTTCCTCTTTTCAAATTAAAATTTTATTAGAATGATTCACGATTTATCACGTGATATATAATATACGGCGCTATGATCGAAATTCCTCAAACCCACTGCACGCGTATAGGGGATCGAAATGCGCGGCTGCAATTCCCCAGACACTAGAGCGAGGGTCTCATTGGTGAATGGGAAAAATGAAATGGTAACCCAAACCGCGTCGTCGTACGGCGGAAGCGATATCTAGAAAAGGAAAAGTCGCAGGACGTTAAGCGAAACGCAATAAAACGAGCCTTTTGCCTTCTACATGGATTCCTTGGTACACAGCTTGTGGCTGTGATTCGTGTGGTGGATTCGTGTCCAAGTCCAAGAGTGTAGAAAGACAAGTTCGAAATACCGAGGAAGAGTTCCTATCGTCGTCGCGTATACGTGCGGTTATGTTCGCCAGTTTGTTCGTTTGAAATATATACGTTCGCGAGCCGCGGCGGCGGGTACCAAGGAATTTTGTAAATGACTTGGCAGAACGCGACACTATTTTTATATATCCACCACGTCACCCAGCTGGACGGGAACAGACGTTTTAATGGTAAAATATGTGTTTATCGCAACTTTTAATCTCATAATCGGTGCGAAACAATGTCAGAAAGGAAAGTGGAGGATACGGAAATCCTGCGAAAGCGGTACACAAACGATGCCAGTCTCGAACCCGACATCATCGACGTATCTGCCATCGATTTCGACGACGCCGATACTTGGTAAATCTTTGCTCGTTTCATTTCTTCACGATGACAGAATTCACTGTACAGGCACATGTAGTTTATACGAACGATTGATCGGGTGATTTAAGATTGAATGAAGAGAAGTGTTTGTATTTTCGTTTTTGATAGGTTGTACGTACCACCACAGGGATACCGATTCGAATCCACGGTTCAAGATTTGTACACCTGGTTAAGGACTGAACCGGAGCTGTTCTTGTCAGGTACGCTGATGTTTATACGTGTACAAATTCTACTGCGAGTTTGCAATCAGTTGAATCGAGTCTACAAATGAAAGTCTTTTAATTATCGACTCCTAACAGATTCGGTTCATAGAGGATCTGTACTAGAACTGATCAAACTCGTGGAGGAATCCAAACGTTTTATTTCGCATAAGAATCTGCAGTCTGATTAAAATGACGTAATAACTGCAAATCTGTAAATTTTATGTTTTGTTCAGTCAACAAAAAACCGATCGATTCGAGGACTTTTACGAGAACCAAAAAGCGGTCCAGCAAATGTAGTTTCGAATCTATTTTGGAATCTTTATCTTCGCCCATATCGAACACATGGAGAACATTTTCAAACGTAGAAGAAGACGTAAGTCGATGTACCTTTACGATCTATACATATCGGTAGCGGTCAATTATGTCGTTTTCTTCGAACGTACGTTTACCTGAGACACCTGTGAACCAGTCTGTATGTCTCAAAGTTCCATCTTGTCACGACAGAATTTGGCTACCGCTGCTTACCTGAAACAGAGCCTGATTTTTTTCTCTTGCAGTTAGGTAAATATTCGAACGTCCCTACTGCCAGCAAAGAAGAAACCGTGCCCGCTATGTTGAGAACGGCAGCCGTCTCGAACGCCAGCTTCCTAATCGAGGAGTCGACGGCGGCGACGACGTCGGGCCAAGAGAGCATGGAAGTATTTTTGAACATGTCTCATTCGAAGGGAATGGACTCGTTCATCAATTCGATGGAACCTGGATTCAGCGATCCGTTAATGAACGTTTCGCAGCCGTCGATCTTGTACTCGTCCATCACCTCGATGAGCAGAGAGGAAGACGCGGGCTCGACGGTATCGCCCAACCAGATTACCGACAACCACGAGGACGCCGAGACCTCGTACACGAACGAGCAAGACAATAACGACAGGACGTTCACGAACAAGGAGTTGACCGACACTTATGACGCGGACACAACGGTCGTGCCGGTAAATAAATTTAGTACGATCAACTTGTCTTCCACGTTCGTACAAAATGACGACGACGCGAATCCGTTGAAGAATGCACGCGCTACGGACACTACGTACTGTTCGACGAATGTCGAGAGAGGCGACGACGGTGTTTCTCCGTTCCTGAATGACACGAAGACTGACGAGTTAAAGAACGTCGAACCTTCCTCTCAGAACGATGATCTGAATGCTACGTTTAAATTGCCTATGCCACCTACCAGCAAGCCTAAGACCGTGGTGGAAGCGCTCAACTCCACTTTCAGGGCCAACAAGCATTTAGAATCGTCGCGTGTTCACGACATGGACCTGAATTCGACCTTCAAAATGCCGACGTTGTTGAGAAAGGAGCTGTTGTCGGAAATTTACAAGAACCGAGATCATAGACTGAACTGTACGTACGACCAAGACGAGAAGCCTGAGAAGAAAACTGCCAACGACACGTTTGACGTGACGTCTAACGAGAACATTCCCGTGGATAAGAAATACAGCACATATAAAAAAGGGTCGCCGGTGAGAGCCAGACCGAGGACCGAGGACGAGGCTGGAGCCTGTACTCGAGACACGCCGGACAAGAGGTACTACACCTTCACAAAGAGAGCCGGTAGCCAAGGAAAGATCGTGGGAGAGAATACGGGGTCGTTGGACAACGTGGACGCTATGTTCGTGAAGCCGCTTCCGAAGCGGAAACAGCACATACCGCGGATGCTGTCGAAGTTGCCGCAATTCCTCCAAAAGTCGAACCCGAACCTGGTATCGAACTCGCTGCGGCCGGTCAGCAGTTTAGGATACGCGAAAGGCTCGCAACCGAACGTCAGGGACGTCGAGAAGGTTCTGGCGAGCAAGTTGTATCTGGGGAAGATGAGGAGCGGTTCCGAGCAACGTCTCGTGGAGTTGAACAAAGGAGTGGGCGATCAGATTTTGAGCGTCGGCGGATCCACGGAGAGCATCGAGAGCACGCAGAGTGCCCATAGCGCGCCTGATTTGGACGACCGCCTCAGCACGTGCTCGGACTGCAGTCACAGTTCATACACGACCCAGCCGATGAACGTCGAGCAACTGCAACAAGTGATCAGGATGCAGGAAGAAAGTGAGTAGACGGTCGTGACGGTATCGATACCATTTTCACGCACTGACACGAAATGTAACATTTCACATGACGTTCCGTGTGTGACTAGGTTTGAATCAGGACGCGCCGCTTCGGCCCAGGCGAGTTTTAGAGAACACTTGGCCCGAGACGAGGAAAGATTTACCGTCTCCCATATCGAAGAACGGCATCGATAGTTCCGACAGAGTTTCACCGTTGAGTATGGACTACGATTTTCAAACGAGCTCTCCCATAATAAGTCCCACTAGATCTAGTCAGTCGATAAACGCTGATGGTAAGTGTACTACATCGCTTTCTGAGAGTTCGCCTTTGACTCGATTCATATTGGAAGAGACTAACGGGCGCGAAATCTTTTGCAATAGGTCAGGCGAACATTGTATTAAATCAGCGGAACGAGGCGGACGTGACGAGAAACATTGAAGTGAGTTTCTTCGATCCACTTAATACGATTAAAAATGACAAAATGTATATACGTCGTTTACTGTGTCGTCGTACAGATTTTCAACAAGCCAGCAACGAAACTCGAGAATAAGACGAAACTGCGACAACCGACGAATTGGAATGCTGGAAACAGGGCTTCGAGTGGTATTCCTAGACCGCCGTCTCGCATACCGGCGCCCCGATTCTCCAGGCCGGCCGCGAGGAACACCCAAGGTGATGTAAAAAGAGGGTACACGTGAAATTGAAGGTAACGCCGCCGATGTTCGAAGCGAACTCTGCGCGCCTTCTTTTACATACCGTTACACAATTTGATCTGTATCCATGTCGGAATTTGTATAAAACGAACTGTTCATAAGTTATGGGGGATGAGGAGGTCATCATTTCGAGCACGATGAAAACTCAGTATTATTAAATTCTCGATGATAATAAAAACGAATTTACTCGCATCACGTTCTCGATCTTCTCGGGATCTGTCGACGCTTGTACGTAAAAACGATGAGTTTTGTTTAAACGAATGACAAATGAATTATTCGTCGCACGAATGGTTTTTGTTTCGAAACTTTGTACATTAACAAGTTCGCTCGAACACTATTTATTCTGTTTAGTCCAGCGACGTTTTAAACCAAAAATTCTCTTACTTTTTCGATTATTATTTATGTTTTATTTAGAGATTCGACTGGAATTGACTGTCTCGATGATCCATTGCGAGCGACGCAACAATGTGTTTGACGCGAGTCGCGGCACGATCCTCGTCACATTTGTAGATGTACAAATGTAACGAGGATCGTGCCGCGACTCGCGTCTAATAAATATTTGTAGATATATAGAAGAATAACGATTGCACATTCTTTCGTTGACGTACAGAGTTCCCCTCGGGTGTGCGTCAGCGAAAGAGTATGAGCATCGCGCAGGTGTTCCATCGATGGGATTAATAACTTGCCGAAATGTATCCTGTATAATTAGCAAGAGTTAGCGAGAAGCTATTTTTGAGAAGCTATTTTTATAAAAATGATAAATGACTGATGCAAACAGTGTTCGATCTAGGACAAATATTTACAGACGTAAAACTGACATTCCGTATAAGAAGAGATTACAAAAAATGGATAGGTTTAAGATCGAGGAAGTACCGAGACAATTTTCAAATTGTACGTGTCGCCCGTAGTTACGAACGTAGGATTATTTAGCGTTTCTTTACATTCTAAACGGCCTGTAAACGAAATCGGGTAGACAGCGTGGCACGTTGTTAATCCTATCGCACGTGTATATTTTTAATATGATAAACTATAAAATAACTTCCCGCTGAACTGTAACGATTATATTTTTAATTATACGATTTTTGTCGATCGACACTGAAAATCTCCCGAACGATTTTAACCGTACGATATCGAGTGCTTTTGTCACTTTTATATATATATATATCGAACTGTAAAAAAAGAGAAAAATGCAGACTTAACAATTATTTGCATATCGGAAGAATAAAGCTGATGTCAATTGTGTGTAAGTTTCTGATAGGTCGTATACATTATTTACGCGTCCGAAATGAGAACACAAACTGACGATTCGAGGAAAGTTCACGGTTCACCGAGAGGTTCGGTGAACATTTAAAGAGATAGTATAACCGTTCCACAGCCTTCCATTAAGCGTTAACAAATATTAGCGATTCAAAGGTAGTTTTTAAACGAAAGACTGGAACACCCATTGTGAAACGTTCATGTACATGCGTGGTAGACTCTTCGAATTCTTTGATATTTGATTCTTAAATTGTTCGAAACGACCATCGTTCTACATTCTACGTCGTAAAATAATAAACGAACGTTGCTAGACGATGTATATACGATAGACGATCATTTATCGTGTATCTTATTACCGTCCTGGAGCTGTTAATCGTCTCGTTGAATTGAAAGAGAAAACATATCATTAAACCGCGGACTCTTGCGCAACGTTTGTAATAATAAATGGAGACTCTATTCGTTGTATCCTTAAAAATCGATGTTCCGCTCAATTATACTTCCTGTACATCAAATTTTTCTACAAATGGATAGTTCGCAGTCTACGTGTCGCAGATATCTAAAAAGATGTTCGAACGCCGTTTCAGGTGGTACTAACTATTTCGAGTAGGATAGTAATTGACGAGTAGGATATACTCGCGAAGGGTCTGGCAAAGCTTTTCACAGACATTTTGTAAATGTAATTGATATTTCCAAGACTCTTCAGAGATGTACTCTACGATACTCCTGAAGCGTGACATCTCCTGCTTCTTACAAGCAAGTGCTGTTTCAAGTGGTTTTAACTGACTCAGTTGTCCATTGTCGAGTACAACAAAAACTTTGTAAGGATGAACACGAGTGATATCACAGTTCTCTATTATTATGAATAGTAGTTACGGTTGCAACGTTACTCATTGAATTCTAGTGCTACATATTTTATGACGAATCGTTGTCGCATTATTGTTTTGACGATGCCAGGCATTGAATTTAGAGTTACTTTATAACATACTACATAGCGCAGAGTATATTTGATTATAATATATTTTAAGATGTTAATTATTATTATCATTATTATTCGCATACGTCGATTCGATTGGCTATCGCGTACAGAAGAGTGAATAGAAGGAGCGTATTCGAAAGAAAAATATCTAGCTTTACATGACACTTACTCCCGAGGCCAGAGAAATTATCGTCGAGAATCAGGCGACAATGAAAATATTTAATGTTTCATAAAAGTGACCGAACGACATTTCTTCTCGTTGGACAATGGATGTGAAAACTTGTATTTGTCCTGCAAATAATAAATGCGATCGGCTCGTTTATTTAGAAGCTTCAAGTGTTAGACCTTAAGTGCCTTTTATTGTATCTCGTCACAAGAGAGACTCTCCTTTCTGTACCTTTAAAACGAACGAATTATTAAGCTGGTGCGCGTGACACAGTATTTGTTTCGAGAGGACTGTCTTGATCTGTCTCGTAAATGATATTAGTTTCGAGTGATTAGTCGCCAATTAACAGGTTAATAGTTTGATAGATTGTATACGCACCAGCATCTGCTCACTAAATCGAATGTTGGTGTAAAAATGTGATCTTTTTCTGTTATTAAACTCCGTATATAGTAACGAACGTTTCGTCAATAAATGGTTGCATCCACCTGTTTGCCAATATATAGGTGTCCGCGGTCTGTTGCATTTTCTTTCGCAACGCACGCAAGTTTCAAGGAACCGAGCCGAGCAGAGAAACGAGCGATGATTCGCGTTTATACGCGAGTTCCATTTATTTTCGGGTGTCCGGTGAAAATATAACACACATTGAACACTTTCATTTACAACAACGATTAAACGTGACAAGCTAATTGCAGGTTTTATCTTATTCTATCGCACGCGCATACGCATACGCGTTTCCCTTAAATTCTAGTAAAGGTGTACAAATTTTTTTCATAGCTTCTATACAAATTTTTTCGCTCCCGCCTAGAAATTTGTTTGCACACCTAACTATCTTTTCGGTACATTTTCGCCACCGATGTAAATGATACAATGTTACGATTGCAGTAAAGTCGCATTAAATGTGAAGATTACGGGTCTGAGCTCTTGATTTCAACGCCAGTTCTTATCGCGTTCACTGTGACGATCTTTTGATTGAGACGAGGCCGTATGCTATGAACTCCTCTTTTATTTAAAAACGCTGTTTATTATCACGTGTCTGTATGATACGAATCGAGGAGGGTGAAGAGAGCGTGGAATTGTAAAGAAAATTTGAGGGAAGAAAAAAGAGGTGCATGGACGAGAGCAGCATGCCTGGAGGAGACATTGGAAAGGGAAAGAGGTGAAAATTTCGCATTTAACTCGACTTCACTGCGTCAAATGTTCAATTTGGTGTACTAAATGTAATACGTATTAATACTGTTCAATTACGTACGCATGGCTTCGTGCAAAAAGTAAAAGTGTCAGATTCAATCAATTGAACACTTTTATGTTCTATACAAAAGACGATTGAAAAGAATTTCAAATTTTGTCTGGAAACGACTATAATCAATACAATTCGTAATTTGTATGTCAATAATGAAATTCTTCGCAGAATAAGCCAATGGGATGAGCACCATCTGTTAATTTTTAATAATACAATCAATTTATGCGTTCGAATAGGAGCAACCTGTTAGGTTAGGGAAATGATGTAGTTGATATATTTTTCACACGTCTTTAAATGCCAATACCTCTGCTTGGTAAATAAATATTCAAGTCGATGTATTTTTTGCACGCGGTCACGGGATTATGATTATTCTAAACCGGTTTCGCTTTTCCATCCTCGGAACTATCAAGCAGCGTGGAGGTATTTTTTCCCTCGGCCGGAAAGTGGGGACGACGCGAATATGGTGGGGACCATAGCGCTGCGGAGAGCTTCGCGAACGCGCATGAGCACGCATGAGGGGAATAGTAGTGGGGATCGAAATACGGGCGAAAAACAGGGGAAGCGAGCCTCGAGGGAAAAAATACCTCCACACTCCACACTCCACGCTGCTATCAAGTCGATTTTCAGTAGCACCCTTCATCGCTAAGAACGTTCGTTCAGTAATTTATCACAAACGAAACGCGAGACGTATAAAATTTATAAAGTTACAAATGCGTCACGACTCTTCTAATTTCGCATAAATTAATAATTACCCGTTGAAATTGATTAAATTTGCCTTTTGCAATGTGAATTTTTACGAATTCGATCATGACACGCTCGTTCGGGTTCAAAACGGGTTCGTCGATTGAACATTTTCGACGACTACCTTATAACGTGTATTGCGCAAAGGCACGACGTTCTAATAGTTTGATCGATTCGAGTGTTGACACGTCTTTGGTTTCTTTTTAAATACGAAACAAAATTAATATTAATGATGATATTCTAGTCCAAGATATGTTAATAAATACGTTCGATATGTATTAAGGAATGCTGCTTTTACACGATAATACAACCATTGAACAGAGATCATTTTCAGTGCGTTTCGATGTTTAAAATAATAAATCGTAGGAAGGTACACTGTCTGAGATGTAAAATCGTCACGTCATCAAAATTGTACACGATATCTTATTTCCCGAAGAGATGAAACGTCCCAATGAACGCGAAAGTCTAAGAGACGTCTGCAGACACCCTATTTTTTAGACGATTTACAGGCGCCTGCAGACACATTCGGAATACGAAACGTAACCACCTTATGCTTTTCAAAGTTGAAACTTGTTCAGTGTCTGAACAATACCAAGAAAAACTGTAATACGTACTATATATACGTATCCCGTTCACTTTCGATACAAAGATTTGTCGCGATGGTTTTGTTTAGGCAGTAAATTGTGCAGCGTACCATCTCTGTACAGTTCTGACTAATATAAAGTAGCATTATTATATAAACACGCGTTCGCAATATTACCGAGAGACGTGAACCGATACATTCGATTCAACGAATACAGTCTGTATATAGCGTGTAGTATCTCGAACGAACAGTCACTGAAATCCATTGTTAACGATAGATATTACAGTTCTATCAGGAATGTACGTGTACGCGTCATTATTATTATTATTATTATTATTATTATTATTATTATTATTATTATTATTATTACGTGGTACAATAAAAATTTAATAAGCATCCGACGTGCATCATGTCTCGTNACGAAATGAGTACGATTCGTTCAACGAAAGAAAGTCGTACGACCTCTGAACGGGAAAGTGATTCACCCTGTAATAGACATCGCGACGCGGACATGATTCTAATTATTTCTACAATTCTAGTATTATCCGCATGCTCGCCGATCGCCGATTATAAATGTTTCTAAGAAAAGTGAACACACGATTTGCGTCGATCACTCTTACGTGTGAATTCTTACTTCGAACCACCGATTTTTATGCTACCTTCGATACAATTTCGGTATCGGTTTACATAAAAATTCCTTTTACGCGCTTCTGCGCTACGGAATAGCGTATCTTGTAAATGCACGAAATCCGTAGTCTAGTCATCGTTACAGATATGTTTGTAAAAGAACATCATCGCGACCTGTTGATTGTCCTGCGGAACCGTGCGTTTCGCGATTCGCGAACATCGTTAGGATAGTTTCTGTAAATGGCATTTATTCGCAAGCTAACTTACTGTCGAAACTGCTGAGAGCGATAGCGAACGCTTGGAGCGTACACAACGGAAATCGGTAGTCCATCGTGAAAACGTCCTCCGCCACGCGGCCGAATTGCATCACGACGTAATCGACTGAAACGCAAACATTTAGACATGATAAATCTGTTCCGATACAAAACGTACGTAGGATGAATCGATGAGAAGCATCGTTTGAAGATTATTCGATTGAACGAAATGCGTTCATCGTCAGACAATGCCGGTGCTTTCCACGTTAATAAACAATTGCCAACTTCGTATCGATTCACCCTGTGCCTTAAAATCGAGATAAAGACAGAGACCATCGCTGTCGTGCACCACTTGAAAATTCTTCACGGAGGCCTGCGTGACCCGCCCGTGGAAGTTCAGCACGTACGACTGCGTGTCGTCATTCCACACCGGCGTCTTGTTGTGCAGTTCTATCAGATTGTCCATATTCTTTGTTTTCCATCGTTCTGCGGGAGTAAAAAAACAAACACGATCCTGTACGATTATTACGAGAAGCCTTTCACAGGTTGATCATCATATAGGATACAACAGAACTCTGGCGTGCGAGAAACATACGAACCGAGTAACGTTTCCGACTCGTCCCGTGGACAAATTTCGACTCTCTTCTGATCAGACGTCATCCCCGGAATGATGACGGTCATTTTACGGGGTCCCTTGAATCCTAGGACGTTCGTGTCGTATATGACCGCGGCCAACTCTTGTCTGGGATTGAAACGATCGTCCCGTTTGTCGTCCTTTATCAACGAATACCCATTGTCGTAGACGGTGAACTGCGTTCCCAAGAGATTCGACCTCAGTTTACCGATGTAAGACTCCCCGGCTCTGGACAGGTCCGTCGGATCGGTAGAAATCAGATAATTACTCGTCGTACTCTTCTTTCTCTTACGACCCGCCAACAAGAAAATCTACGAACAAACGTAGAACAATTTTCATAACGTTTCGTACGTAAGTAAAAAATTAATTTTCACTCCGGATGTTCATGCGTTTGTGAGAATTTTCTATAGTTCAAAGGATGCATCGCAGTGATTCAAAGTATCCGAAGTAAAATAGAATTTACGATACTTGGAGAATGTTTGTGTGCATTCCGGTACTTGTAAGAATAGCAATTTGCATAAACATCCGTGGCCTAATAATTAAATGAGGAAGCTTCCGATACTTCATATTGCATCACGCGTTATACGCACTGTTTATATTGATTGCGCGTTAAATGGTTGTACCAATCTGTAGCCTAATAATACATAGATAACTCGTTACCTTTTTCCCGTAATCTCGCTCCAGATGTAAAAAATAGGTGGGATATAAACCACGGTCCATACCCTTTCTGTCGCGCGTTATTCTACACTTGTAATGCATCTTTTTATTCGCTGGCTGCAATACGAAATGTTCCACATTCCCTTCCACGTTTCCCTCCAATTCGGGGCTCTGAACAAACGAGACATCGTTATGAGATTCGTTCATGACTCATCGTTGAGACACGGTGCAAACTTACCGAAGAATTATTTTCTCTGCTAATTAAGGTACCAGCGGCTTCCGACGGAGCTACTCTAAGAGGCGAAGGACAAGGCAGGGACTCCGAAGGCGAGCGTGCGTCTATAGGTGACGATTCCTCGTCCGCGCAATCGGCAGCCTCCATACCTTGATAAAATCTTCCTTCCGTGCTAACTTCTATCGCAACAAAATGTTCTACCCTGTATTCAAGTTCGCGACATAATATATATATATAATTATTAGACTGCCGACATTTATGCAGAATGGAACGTTCATGGTATCAGTTTAAAAGATGTGTTGCACAATTATTTCGTTTAAACATTGAAGTACCGGCTTTTTATATTAATCTCATTACACGCGACGGTCATCATTTCTGCACACTCGATTTTCTAATAAGTGCATAAAATCGGCAGTCTGCTAATAATAATAATAATAATAATAATAATAATAATAATAATAATAATAATAATAATAATAATAATAATAACCGTGGTAGCATTTACCATTAATTCTTGCTTCTATATCCTTGTTTTCTGCGAATGCGTTTAAATCAGCGTTTTGAGACGCGTTAAACTGCAGCGAGCCATTATAGCCTGAAACAATGAACCAAGTACACGTCTCATTCGTTCATTTATCGCATCTTATATAACATTTATACCGTTTACCTCTGAGATCTTTAGTCGGGTTCGTCCACTTTGTAGAATGACTGGTAAGCTGAGTACTCGACATGTTAGACGCCTGTACCATTCCACCGGCACCGCTTTGTCTTTTCTGTTTCATCTTTTGCGCAATTATTTGCCTCTGTAATCGATTACGAACTTGTACATTAAATAAAATTGCTTTTAACAAACAGGATGAATCGATTGCATCGAACGAAACGAGTAATCATGTTTCCAATTACTCTGCATCGTTAATAGCCTGACAGTTTTTAAGAATTTTGCCCTGCAAGGATTACGTACATAATCTGTAAACTAAATTATTTAAATGACCTACACACACGCTGCTAGTCATACGCATACGCGCATATATAGTAATTGTTATTAACTTGAAGTTGAAACGTAGAAGTGATAAAACTGCATTGATCTTTGAGAGAATGTCATCGCGTTTGGTTCTCAGGTATGGAAAACATAAAATACACGTCTGTGCTCGAGAATCGAGAATGAAGATCGAACGTTCGAAAGCATCGTCGTTCGTGAATTTTGGTTCTGGACAACGCATACCTGCTGCTCGAGCTTCTGTTGCCTCAGATCCAGCGACGTCATGTTGCTAATATGCAAGAATAAGAATTATCACTCGCCGATTTATTTTATTTCTACAACAGAATAATCCAGCTTCTCAGGAAACCAGTTTGTTTACACCAAGCATATCTCGTCTCCCGTGACTACCTATGTAGGTAGGTACGGTAGGTAACTCGCAGTAACTCGTACATAACCTATCTGCGCAATGATGATCATCGTGGGATTTTTGGCTCATGCGCATTACAAAATAGTTTTGGTTGCAATTGTACATATACGTGCTCTATATCATTTAATTAAGTTCCCGATTTTAATACGAATTCTGATTAGGATCGTAGTTTCGATTTCGACTTTAATGATGATCGTGATCGTGGATTCAATTTGGTTTTGATAAATATTGGATCAAATAAAAAATAGAGTGAACTACTATTTCAAACTTGCTCTAAGATTTTAAGTGAATTCTAAATAATGAATCAAATAGAGAAAAATTGTTTCTACATCCAAGTACACTAACAAAATGATTATTTTGAATATCGTGCAATTAGATAACACAACATAATTAATAGCTGGCAGTGTGCACCATCCAATGTGGGCCCAACACTGGCATCATTACCATATACACACATACGCTCGTTCCATGGTTCGTTCAAACTGTTCAAAGTGCTTCTACAACTACAGTTTGTGCGTATTGTTCATAACCTTTATAACCTCTGTTCCGTACACCCAGACTGGTTATGATTTCTTCCTACGTTTCCGTACGATTGACCGGAATAAAATAAAGGCCTCATAGAGAAATATGACTGGCAAGAAGAAAATAGTGTAACGCGAATTTGAACACAACATTTAATTCTGTTGTATAAAAGATTGTTACAATATTCTCATCAACATGTATACCGGATTGCAAAAGTCTTTCCCGAGTTGTCCTACAAGGATTTTTAAAGTCGTCACACGAAAATTGTCAAGTACGACAGTGTCGAACGAGACGGAAGACGTGGTTTACCCTCCGATATTGGATTTATCCCGCGCAGCTAGGGTCAGAAGAAATAAAGAGGAGTGGCATGAGAAAATTAAGAGACTGTACAGCGTGGAGGAGAAATTGTTTGGCATCAACATGCCACGTTATTATGGCTGGAAGTCCATGATCGTGGAAGAGGGACGTGTTCGATATAATTCCTTGGATCATGCTCAATACATTACTCGTACTCATGTTATGAATGAACATAAACTCCCTGCAGTTTATGATACACTGTCGAATGAGCAATTAGATTCTGTCGTGGAGAACGTCAAGCATCATATAGAGAAGATTGTCAGTTTTGAATACAGTCATAGATTGTAAGTATACGATTAATTGATTTTCAATTTATTTCCTTCATTCTCTTCACCTTCAATGATTTCGCTGTTGATATATACTTTGCGTGTCGGGTGTGCTTTATTAAATTACCTGTAAGTTTATAGAATCCACGGTTTAATAATCAGTTTTACACATAATTTCGTTTAATTTTCCATTGTAGAAGGGAACACGAAATAACAGAGAAAGTGGATGAAATCAGGAAACAAATGCTACAAAAGGCTATCACGAAATCACTGATCAATCAGATCAACAGGATAATGCTGGCCGCCACATCTCCAATAATGCCACATTTATTAGAAGCTCAAGTAGATTTTGATCCAAGAGTAGAGGCCTTCTGGTTCGCCGGTGGCGTGGAACCTTCGGCTATGGTTAGGAAAGCAAAGGCAGGCTCGAAATACGCCAAGAATCGCGCAGACGAGCTATTGGATCAACCGGTTCATTATTTCGGGACTCCGTTACTGCAACTGAGGCACCAATTACCCTTGAGGGAGATCGTCCCTTTGACGGAGTGTACCAATCCGGAATTTACAATCCCGGAATTTAAATTTTACCCCGCGGTAATAGGTTACACGTTCGCCTATAAGCACGCGACTTCTATACCCGGGTTCTGGCCTGGTGACACGCACGAGTTTGGTTTACTCTCTTATCATGATTTAAACCAAGTGCTCCGCAGCGAAACTTTCGAGGAAGACGCGATTACGGTGCAAGCGATCTTCGCGTCCTACGGTTGGCTCCTGTCGCAGGCGTATTACCAAGGTTTCTCGACGGTCAACGATATAACGTACCCATTAGTGACGCAAACGATATTGACCGACGGCCAGTTATGGTCTTTCTGCGTTTACCAGTTGAACACCACTGTGTTCTACACGGAATTCATGGATGAAAATCGTAAACGTAATTTATGTTGGATAACCGAACCGATGAAGCTGTTCGAAAAAGTAGAAGATGGAAAGGTTCACGGGTTTAACGAGGATGTTCTGAAGAAATTGATCAAATTCTACGCTAATCAGCCCGAGCAGAGGAACGAGAACATGACGCCGTATTTAGGCGACATCGTACAACGGGTTGCCGACATAAAAAACCCCAGAAGGAGAACCTGGCTGGAAGAACGTTTCAAGTACATCATGAGCAACAGACCAAGGCATTTCCAAATACCCGAGACACCTATGTGGCACAAGATCTACAAGATCGATAACAAGACTCGTCCTATGGATAAAAGACGCGACCCATGGGAGTTCGGTTATCAGCCTTACAAACGGCGAATGGACGATCACCAACCAATTTATATACCAAGGTGTCTGAGGGCGAACCCGAAGAAGAGGAAGATCGGACGCTGGGCGTATACCTTTTACCCGAGAGCGTAAACTGTTCGATACATCTATTTTAGATCTAATTTTTAAGAATAGTGAAATACGAAGATTGTACATACATGCAGAATGAGTAAATACAAGTACTACGTACAGCGTTGCCTGATCACGTTTTCGAAACATACGTACGTTAATTACACGTTCAATGAATTTAGTTAGAACTGCCGAGTTTGTATTTGACAAACGAAATATTTTAAATACCATTTAATGTCGAGACGGTACAACGGTGGCGACTGTGTGGCTACAGATTCTTCCAACTTCTTCGCATGAATCATACAAAAAAACCGGATTAAAGATAATTTTAATAACTGAAGTGAATACAGTGCACGATAAAAGAATAGAAATTTTACTCATTTGTGTTGTTATAGTAATCGATCAAAAATTTGACTTGTAAATTGATATCGTCGGGTTCGGACGTAGCCCATGTATTTAAATTGTGAAACGTGTTCACCATTTCTTGCTCTTCTACGGCAGGTCTCGTGCTGTTCGCTATTTCATCGTTCTCTACGACAGCTTCCGTGCTGTCCTTCGTTTCTTCCATGAAGTCGATGTTGTTTTGAATCATAGATTCTGCTTGCTCACATCTCTCGAACCATTGCGTCAATCGTTCTTCGTACATAACAATAGGATCGCGATCCTCGTTGGCGGCGTTCTCCGTCACATCTTCGTTATTAGCTAAACGAGTGAATTGCAAGAGTCTGTTCCACGAATTTCGAATGTCAGTCAACTTTATATTGTTCCACGCCTCGGCGATCAGATCCATGCAATCTTTAACGTCGTAATCCGGGTAGAATTCCTTCACGCCACCAGGAAATTCGAACGCTTTCTTTAATAAAAATTTTCTAAAGAACTTTTTACACTTCGAAATTAGAGCTTGATCCATTGGTTGTATAAACGACGGCAGGAATATTATTTGAAACTGTTCGTCCTCGCGGAGCTGTTCTGGAATCAAAAGTTGCGTGAAATGGTCCACCAAGAGGAGAACCTTTCCCTTTCGCTGTTCGCGCAAATGGAATTCTTTCACGCTGGCTTGAAAGTAAACGATGTACCATTGGGTAAATATCCGTTCGTTGATGGAACAGTTGCGTTCGCTCGCGTAGACGACTGGTAAATAATGCTTGCAATGTTTCAACGCTCTCGGATTGGGGTATTTGTGAACGAAGAGCAACGGGAGTTTGTGGGTGCCCGTTGCGTTCGTACACAACGCCACAGTCACATGATCCACCTTGCCCTTCGCTCTTTCTACTTCTACCCGTTGCTCGTCCTTCGTCAACATCTTAGGAAACGATCTCCACAACACGTTCGTCTCGTCCATTATATAGATGTTGTCCTCTTTGATGTTCTCTTCCTGCAGTGTCCGTGCAAAATTGGCAATAAATTTTCTCCTCACTAACTGATAAACGTCAGTTTCCTCCTTGTTTAATCCAGTTATTTCGTATCTCCTTTTGAAGCGCGAGATCCATCCTTGACTAGCTGTGAAATTCGAGTTTCCGGACTCTTGTTCGAACGCCTTTGCCTTCTCTTGGATCGCCACAGTCGTCAAGATGTTTCCCGACGCTCGACGTTCCAAGATCCACTCGTATAAACGAGCTTCCGTGTTATTGTACAACGGTCCCCGTTGCCTTATGGATCGTGCACGTTCCGGATCGTTACACAATTGTCGCAGAGACACCGACTGCTGTTTGTATCGCCTTATCGTTCTCTTGCTAACGCCGTACTCCGTGGCTAGATCGTCGATGCTGGATCCGTTTTCTAGTCTCGTCAGGATCTCCACGCGCTTCTCCACGGTTACTGTGTTCCTCAAGCTCGATGCCATGCTTGAAAACTTCTCGGCATTCAGGAGAATTTCATTCATCGGCGGCGGAGGCGGTGATCTACAGACCGCCGAAGACTCGAAACACCGGCTCAAGTATCGTTGAGTACTTTACGTAGCATCCTCGTCGATGTCCGTTTTATGTGACTGTAAACACGTTTCGAAGTAATTAATGCTGGCGGTCGAGAGGTTAAGAGGCTCCTCCCGATTTCTCAAGACACTTGAGGAGGGTACCAACCATTAATCAGGCACTCCGTTTCATCCCGTGCAAAGAGCTTCGCTGAGAACCATTTATCATCCATTGCATTTCTTCTAGTATCGAAGTAAACGTTTCGCGAGCGTGAATCCGTCATTAACGATGTCAGTCTTTAAGGGATAAAACAATACGCAACAGATGGTTTCAATTTCTAAAGGTTCGCGAAGCTTTCCCTGAGACGAAGTTTAACTTCGCTTCATTGTTACAACACTGACTGAAAAGCACTGTTCTTTCGCTTTTCCTCGGCTGAACTCACGCTCGGCTAGTCGGCTCTTCTTGAGGGTCGTCTGATTTGTACTATCGCGAACGAGCCGAACGATACATGCGTGTACTAGAACGATAGGAAAAAATTACAACGCCTATTATTGTTATATATGTACATTGGTTCGTCGTTTAATTCATATTCGTCTGTGCCACGCATGTGCATAAACGGCCCTTTAAACATCTAAGTAAGTACACACTACACAACCATACGCCTACACGTTGACAACGTCACTCTCGCTCCATGATCACGTCAGATCAGATCACGTGTGTAACTTCACTCGAATCCACTTGTGGATACGGCCCTGAGTGCCGGCAAGTCTAGCCGGTTGCGAGTCGTAGCGGCGCTGCATTTCAGGAGTCGTGATGCTGCTGGGTGTCGCGTCGTAGGTGCGTGTCGTGAATCCACCGTCGCGTTCTAACGACAATCGGCATCGGCCCCGGTCCCGGCCCCGGTTCAGTCTCGAGCGAGCGATTCTCGGTCCGACAACCGATTCTCGGTCCGACAACAAGTTAAGAAGGAAGAAACCAGCCGGAGAACTGTGTCCTCTACGGCACATACGTTCAGTGCGAACCGAGGCACGGCCCGCTACGAGCGTCGCGTGTGTTCGTGTGTATGCGTGTCGTATTTATTTTGATTAGACCGTGCACGAGATCGTTCTGTGACAATGACCGAGGAGGAGTACTACGACGGCTCCCGGATCTTCTTCTGGCTCACTGATTTCGTCGACTTGTCCATCGACCAGGTTGGAAAGACAGAGAATCATTTATAGTAAATGCTACAATTTCTACTCACCGGCAGATTTTTCTATAATCGTACCTTGAAATCAGAGGAAAATAAGTCAGTGAGCAAAAATCGTAACGTAAACAGAAATCAAGACTTCTGTTATACATTTAATTTTTCATCGAGAGTGGACGTGCAGACGCGCGTCGGCTCCATCCTTTTAAATCGCACCCCTTTCAAGAGTGTCTTGTAATTTTATTAAATGAGAATTAAGTGAGAAAAAACCCGTTGATCGTTCTTTACGCTTATTTATGTTTGCATCGAAAGAGAAAGTGGAAAGGCGCGTGAATTGAATCTTTTTAAATTACTTTTACCCGCGCCTTATCTTTCATTAAAATGTTATTTTTGTTGCGATCGGACTTACAGCTCGAGTGTGCACGTGTTGTATACTTAATTTGTCAGTGGATGTCGGGTTAAGGTTAAGGTTAAGGTTGCAAATCGAGTCAAGGTGGCTCGCTCGTTACGCGCTGCAACGTTTTTGAGATTTCAAACCGTAACGCGATCTAACCGCGATTATCTTCTTCTTTCTTCTTCCTAAAATAGTTCAAGGGACGATTTGTCGGCCACTGACCACTTTCACGGTTCCTATTTAGTTGTTCGTAAATCATGCGAGACTCGATTCTGTGAGAGAGGTACGTTGAGAATATAAAGGATGCATGTAATCTGCTGAGACATGAAAGATGCATCTGCGTATCTCATCGCTTGAACGATAAAACTTTGTTTCACACGTTGTGTATTCATTTTTCAAATACGTACATTAGAAAATATCCTATTTTGTAGGAAAGTCCTCGGTCTGTTTGAATTGCGAGCTACGTGATCCGAATGCCTAAGATGATTGAGATCACTCTCGTCATTCACGTTAACTCTGAGAAATAATAATAAGATACAATTTCATAACGTAACGTTCAATTTGCTCGATACCGTTTCATTTTTATGTGTTTCCAAGCTCGACTTTGAACGAGATCGCGTGATTTTTTTTCGGGCCACTACGAAAAAAAGACACGAGCATAACGTGTTATATCACTAAGCGATTGATTACACGATAATGTTACTACGCGAGCACGTTACGTGTCTGGAAATTGATTCTTACACATTTATTAAAAAATTGTCTTGCTAACAATACGATAAGATAATTTTAAACAATTAAGCATTGTATACGGTCGTTGCTAAATAGATGACGCAGCAGTAGTTGCATCGATAGTTTCGAACGTTGAGTTTCGGAGAGACCGAAGCGTGCTAATGAATGAAAATGCATTCAAATCGTGGACGTTTCGATTTGTAAAAAGAATCGTTCCCCCATTATTTACTGGGTTTCCCTTGAGCGAAGTGTCAGAGTGCAGTTATCGATGATTCTAAAAGCCTCGCGATATGCGTATTATTCAGAGGTGAGGAGAGCGACACGTACGAGATTTGTGAAAGTAATAAGCGCCGGTGAAACAGCCGCTACTCTGTAAATAGAATCGCATGATTCGGAAGTCACGCCGCCGTAGAAAGCGAGAGACGCAGCGATGGGGAAGTTGAATTAAATGTACATACGTACACACGATGCTCGATCTGTGTTTCGCACGGCAAATATCGTTTTGCTGTTAAATAAAAATCTAATGACAATCCGATTCAACCACTTACGCAATCGTCTCCAACAACCTCCGTTATTCTGGTTTAAAAATAAATTTGCAAGAAGTCGATGTTAATCTGCACTACGGCTCGTAGAAGGGCGTTCGCAGATCAAGAGATAATAATTTTATTTTTTAGCAGCGTTTTAATGCGGCAACGAGTAAAATAGTATTGAAGCAGAGACAAGTGAATAGCTATTGAAGCTAAGCGTTCTTAGGTATTGAAAGGTTCGTTCAAAATTTGTATTCAATCTTATACCCCGCGTTTTTTTTTACAACAGATGTGATGCAGTCTTGTAATTACAATCGTTGACTGAAATAAAAAGTAATAGCAAAAGAAGACTCAATGGCATGTGCAAGCACGTCTAGTAAGGCGTGTAAATAGGTACAACGTATAATTAAATCTGAAGTTCATTCGAATTGTCGACCGGTGACTCTTTGCTCCAGCATGTTTTTTGTACTTCCTATATTACGATTTCAATTAGATCGTAGTACGTAATTAAATCTGAATTTCATGCGGATTATAAATCTGTAATTCGCTCATTCCGACGCGTCTCTTTTTAAAACTCTCTTCTGTTATGCAATTATTGTTTCTTTTCATTTTCTAAACGTTAACACTTGAATGTGCGTGCGTTGCATGACTTGAACTTCTGCTGACAGTGCAGAGGACTCGAATGTCTGAGGTCAGTGTTTACTTATTGTTAGCTGTGCACGCGCGAAAGTGCACGCACGGGGAAAGGACAATTGAACGCGTGCGGAAGGTTGTTTTCATACAAGTTATCGTGAACCGTTCCCGACTTGAACGAGGCTTAATTTTAGAGGCACGCGTAAGACACTTGAACGTCATCGATTGGGAGCTACGCAATTCGATGTAGCCGCACGTGTAGCCTGTTTATAGTTTATATGTATACATATGTACGTTCTTAACATTTTATTGCCTTATTTTTTCCCTTCCATTTTTAACTCGTTGAATAATAATAGGAGGGTGCGAAGTCTTCTTACTTCGGCTGCACTGTCAATCGCATGGATTATAATTAATTTTTTATTGGACGACAGCGATGCATTTATTATCATAGAAAATATTGAGATAAACTGAAGGAATTTTGAGTTATTTTAAAATACTAGACAAGGCACGTTTGTACTTCTTTAACGCTGGATCTACCAAGTATGGGGAAGGG